TGACCTGGTGCCGGCCTCTGTCAGTCAGCCCACCTGCTGAGCCCTTGGGACTATCTGCGTGAAAGACCGGAGTCCCTCCACACGCTCAGTTGTGTGCCCAGTTCAGCCGCTCTGTTCACATAGAGGGGGTGGGGACAGGAGAGGGTCGTTTCGCCCTCACCTGTGTTCATCCTTGCAACTTGCCTTTGGGGTTTTTTGTTTATTTTTGAGACAGATTTGCTGCAGATCCCAGCCTAGCTTTGGATTCTCAATCCTCTTGTGTATTAGTTATTCTGTGTGTTCAAAACTAAAAGTGTGGCCAGCAGGGAGTGTGTGCTTAGCATACAGAGTGAAGAAAGGTCTCTGGGACCCTGTGGCTCTTGAACCTGGGACAGAGCATCTAGAGCCGATGGGACTGTGGGGACTGAGAGAGAGAAGGCCCTGCTTTGCCCCTGCTGACCACAGCAGCCGAGCTGAAAGTGTCCTGCTGTAGGAACACTGCCGTAGGTAGGCTTTTTCCTAAGAGAAATGCCAGCTAACAGTTAAGTGGCCTGGCCCAGTTTTTGGCAACTCCTGAATCCCCTCCGGGCATTCACCAGCCACCTCTATGATTCCAAGAATGTTTGATCAAGACATCCAAGCCATTGGATACTCAAAAACCCTGGGTGCTCACTGCCTGGGGGGCCCAGGACAGCACAAATCCCTATGAGGAGAATGTACCCCAGTCACACTGCCCCCCCCCCCACATCATCGATGGGGGCCAGAGGTACAGCCCCTTCACCTGCACAAGTGACATCCTTGGCCAGGGCGAGCAGCTCCATTCCTCCATCCAGCTCTGGGGAGAGGGGAGAACATTTCTTTGCCCTGTGAGTTTGGGGAAGAGCAATGGACTTTTTCTCCACCTCCCACACAGAGGGCCTCTTGACCCTCATGGAACCCAAGGGAGGCGCTCAATGCAGCAGCTGGGTCCCGGCAGCTTGGGGTGTGCTGCTGCAGCACCCGACCCTGTGTGTGCCCTCAGGCCCTGAGGCTTCAGAATGGTCAGGTTTCAACCATTGCTTCCTGATCAAACCCGTGAGCAAACAAGAGCGACGCCCACTGGGCTTCCCTGGGTTCAGGGCCTTTCCTGGGCTTGCATGCCACCTGGTAATGGCGGGGGCAGGCAGGGGGAAGGGTGCTACCTAGAGTCTTCAGCTGGCAGGAAACGCCAGGTCACCTGGATGCCTCTGCTCACAGGCGGCTCTTCACCTCACAGCAGGCACAAACAGCCCAGGTTCCTGCTTCTGTGTGGCGCAGAATGGCTGGCCATGGCTCTTGAACACTGTGAGTAAAACATATATGTGTATGCCCAGAACTTGGGGAGGCTGGGGCAGGATTGCCCCGATTCCAGGACAGCCGGAAGCCTGTCCTGCCAACTAATCGCCGCTCCCGCTCCCCGTCATGCTATTCAGCAGACACATGGACCTGGGTATCTCAGCTGTGGAAAGTTGTGTACACGGAACCTGTCCTCAAGTCCAGGAGCTCCGAGTCCTTGAGTCTTAGGGATAATGAGGACATTCTCTCACCACCCAGGCTAGGGAGTACCCGGTCCTGGGCCCTCCTGTTCACCTTTCCAGGACCTCTGTAGTGGGCTCCAGGAGAGTGACCACAGCCACTTCCGTGAGAAGACACACCTGGTGTGAGATCAGGCCATCTTGAACTTAGCTACTGAGGCTACTGGGGACTGGTCCAGGTTCCTTCTCAGTCCCCAGAGTGGCTCAGCCACCAATGCCTTGTCAGCATGGGACTGGCTGCTCCCCAGCCTGGATCAGTGTAAACCATGAGTGTCAATGCAGACATGGATGGAGGAACTCCACATGTGTGCCATTGGGAAGCTGCTGATTCTGCTGTGGCCCCAAAGTGTCAGCCCACCAAGGACCACTGGTTTCCTCCTTGCCTCTTGGTTTTAGTAGGGATGACAAGATGCCTAGCTAAGTGTCCCCAGAGTGCCGTGGGACAGTCAATGCCTCCAAGTTCTCCAAATCGGGAACCAGTCTCCATCAAAGCAGCTTTCTAGGGACCTTGTTTGAGGTTTCAGCCTGAACCAAGGGCACAGGGCCCTTTCAATGAAGTTCGTGCCATTTCTCAAGGGAAATGGAGCTCAGAGGATTCAAGACTTAATTCAGGACAGGAAAGCAATTCATAAGAAAGTGTTTGGAGCCGGGCGGTGGTGGCGCACACCTTTAATCCCAGCACTTGGGAGGCAGAGGCAGGCAGATCTCTGTGAGTTCAAGGCCAGCCTGGTCTACAAGAGTGAGTTCCAGGGCTGGAGAGATGGCTCAGAGGTTAAGAGCATTGCCTGCTCTTCCAAAGGTCCTGAGTTCAATTCCCAGCAACCACATGGTGGCTCACAACCATCTGAAATGAGATCTGATGCCCTCTTCTGGCTGCAGGCAGACACACAGACAGAATATTGTATACATAATAAATAAATAAATATTAAAAAAAAAAAAAGAGTGAGTTCCAGGACAGGCTCCAAAGCTACAGAGAAACCCTGTCTCGAAGGGAAAAAAAAAAAGGAGAAAGGAAGAAAGAAAGTGTTCGGATACTGCATGACAAGTCTGGGGTCCCCGACCGCTGTTCTTGTGTTTTAAGTTATAGTTTGGATTTTATTGTGTATACATGCGTGTTTTGTATGTGAGCTACAGATGTGCCCACAGAGTTCAGAAGAGGGCATTGGACCCTCTGGCATTGCAGTCACAGATGGTTGTGAGCCACCATGTGGGCACGGATACCCAAACCCAGGTCTTCTGTAAGAGCAACTCATGCTCCACAACCACCGAGCCCTCGCCACAGTCCTGAGGCTGCCTTTCTACTGCATGTGCGCGCAGCATCTACTGTGAGTTTAATGCAAGAGTGAGCTGTGCGAAGCCCTATTCATAAAGGGGGTGCTGAGCGTGGTAGCGCTAACCCCAGCACTCCAGCCTTGGTTTTGATGTGTGATCTTCCTTTTCATCATATCCTGAGCTACAGTCAGTGGCAACAGTGGCTCCAATGGCTGCAGACAGACTTCACGGGGGAGGGGGGCCAGCATGGCCTCCCTCAGAGCTCCAGTGGAGAGCAGTGTTAGGTTTGGGGTGGAGCCACACTGAGATAGATTCGAGGGGAGCCCTGCAATGGACGACTGTAGAGGAGGGGCTGGGCCAGAAGGGCTCTAACATCATGGGCAGACAGGCGACAACATGGCGGGGTGTCTGAAGAACGGCATGGGGGACATGGAGCAGAAGCAGGAAGCTATTCTTGCATTTCCTGAAGACGGGGGAAGTTGCATAGCAGGAGGCTGCAGTGTGGCTCTCTGATTCCCAGGCAGGGACATGGGTAAGGAACCCAAGCGTGGTTTTGATGTGAACTCGGTTCCCCAGTGAGAAGTCCTGATACTGGGATTGCCTGTTGGCTAGGGTCTCCTGCAGACAGTGGCTCCGTCAGGTTCCTGCGGTGTCTGAAAAGCCTGCTGCAGAGAGCGGGCTGCGCAGACTGGGTACTACTCTTGCACCAACTAAGTCCAGGGACCATGGCTCTACTTCCTGGAGGGCACACGGGCTGCAGGGCTCCAGGATACTTCAGAGAGCCATCAGAGCTTCTCGTTTGTGTGACAGGTCAGCAGGCAGCATCCCTAGGCCAAGACCAGGATTCTGGGGCTGGGGGTTGCTGAGATTATGCCCAGCGGACAGTGGGAGGTTGATGTTTCCTGCCTTCCCCAGCTCATCCATCTAACTGCTCCATTGCCCTGCCTGTTCCCTGGCTGGACCTTGGCCCTAGTGGTGCTGAGCCGCCCACGTGGCTGTGGGGTCAGAGGCAGGCCTCCCCGGGGGCAGTTCTCAGTGCTGCAGTTTATATAACACTCAGACACACACACACACACACACACACACACACACACACACACACACACAGCCTCTGGGACCTAGGCCATAGGCAGGGAGCTGCCCAGGGTCAGTCAGAGCTGGTAGCCAGGGTAACCAAGTTCCCCTTCTACTTCTGGGGCCCAAGTTAGCCCCCAGACTCTTTTTCTTGTCTACAGTGGGCCCTCGGGCACTCTCCCTACAGTGACTCCTCAGGTTAGGAGCTCTCCAGCTAAGGGAATACTGGGTGACTGTGGGGGAGGGAGACAGAGGCTCCTGTGTGGGGGAGGGTGCCCTACCGCAGCCTTTGGAGTCCCCGACGTCCCTTCTCTGTAAACTGAGGAGGAAGTGCCCTTATTTGAGCAGAAGTGGGTCTCCTGTGGCTGGACTGTGCGTGTGGGGTTCCCAGGGAGGAGGGAGTGCTTCTGTTTGCGATATCTTGTTACTGTCCTGGGGGTGGGACCAATGAGAACCTGGGAACGTGGAGAGCTCACCCTTCCTGGAAAGGCTGTAGTAGTGTCCTTGGGTTCCTCGCCATGTCCCCACGCCCTTCCCGAGCTGCTAGCTACATCTGAGTCAATACTAGTTACGCTTTTTCCAGGAAAGACAAAGTGGGCTGACCTCTCTGGAACTGCTGAATGACTGCAGTACCATCCTCGGGCTTCCTTCTAGGGGAAGGGGGGAGGGCAGGGCAGGCGTGGGCTTCCTCGGCGAGACGCCAACAGAAGTGGCGCTTCGTGAGGTCGGCGCCCCACCATAGTGGAGCTCCCACCATGTGGTCCTTCACTGAGAGGTGTCCCTAGCAATGGAGTTCATGCCAGCCCCCACCTGGGTCTTCAGGACAGACTGGAGCCAGCAGCCAGGGACTTGCCAGAAAAGAACAGGCAAGGTTTCCGTGAGACTGCTGCCCTCTGGTGGCTGCTGTGGTCACTGCACAGGGCTCAGGAGAGGAAGGAATGGGACTTGTGCTCAGTCCACTTGACACCTGTTGGGTGCTTCGGGCACCTGAGCTGAACTCTCCCACCACGCATGCTTCCCATATATGGCTGTCTCTGAAGCCTCTTGTGGACTGTGCATAGGAAGCGTACTGTCCAGGGGTCCCATCCACGCCCGCCTTGACTGCCTGTCTTTGACTTTCAGGTGCTGGAGGCCAGCGCTGAACTGTCCCCAGAGGAGAGGAGGGTCTTGGAAAGGAAACTGAAGAAGGAACGGAAAAAGGAAGAGAAAAAGCGGCTGCGAGAGGCAGGCATTGCTGCGGCTCAGACAGCCAAGGGCCAGACCCTGCCAGCCAAGCCCTCGGCTGCCGTTCTAGCCCTGGAGTATCTCCAAGGGTAAGCACCGCTGTGGGCTGAATCCAGAACATTCTGCTGCTGCCATGATTCTGGGAAGAAGTCTTTGTGGCGGGTGGGGAATGTCACCCCTTGACTGATGTTGGGGAGGCTCCTGCCCTGTCTATTCTGTATCCACACAACTGCCCTCAGGCACGTCCCCTCTGTGGCTACTGTGTGCCCAGCCTGCAGACACACCACCATCTTGGCTGGGCACTGAAAACAGATATTCTGGAAGTCAGGGAGGCCACGTCCCTGAACCACAGTGCACTGCAGATTGTGACAGCCCCACAGCTAGGTATCCTCCCGGGTGTTTTGTTTGGTTTTTAAGATTAACTTTATCTTCAATTCTGTGGGTGTGTCAGACCTTCCTGGAGCTGGAGTTCCAGGCAGGAGAGTGTACCGATCTTTAGCTCCTGAGCTGTCATTCAAGCCTCCTCCCAGGTGGGCTTGCTAAGCCGCTACGTCTGCCTACAGGAAGAAGGGTGTATTGGGGGCCACATCTCATCGTGGTGGAGAAGGGCGACACAGCTAGTCACATCGCGTCCATGTGTGGCAGCTCTAAGTGAATCCTGGCGCTTCCTCCTTCCTACTCGCTCAGTCCAGAACCCCAGCCCCTGGGACAGCGCCGCTCACATTCAGGGCAGGTCTTCCCGCCTCGGTTAACCCCATCTAGACACTTCCTCACAGATGTGCCCAGAGGTTCGTTTCCTGTGCAGGTCTCAATTCTGTCAAGTTGGCAGCGTTAACTGTCACACTGGGCGGGTGCTGAGAGAGGTTTGGCTTGTGGTGGCGGGCAGCTGGAGCCTCACAATAGTTGCATCCCCAGAGAAGCCGCCCTTCCCAGGGCCTGAGTGTTCAGGTGCAAGATCCGCCATGCAGGAGGCCACATGCACAGGTGGGCATGGCAGCAACCACAGTGGCCAGAGCCAGGTCAGCTTTTAGGTAGATCAAAGGGACCCAAAGAGTCAAAGAGCCTTGTGGAGAGGTGGTTTTGCAGGAGCTGCAGAGGCAGGGGGCTGCCCTTTGCTCTGAAGCTGGGGCTCTTGCAGGAGTCCTTGTGATTGGTCAGCCGAGGTTTCCTGGGATTAATGGGGTGATGGAACTCATGAACCAGACCGTGGTCTTTCATTATGTCCAGAGTGTTCCTCCTGGCCTTGGTCATTAGGATATCCTTACAGCAAGCAAGAATGCAGGAAGGGGACATGGGTTAGAAAGAGATTCCCACCCATAGCTCATAAAGCAGAGGAAACCTTGGTCCCAGAATCCTCTGCAAGATCACAGAGGGCAGTGGGCCTTGGCACGGTCCCCTCTGGGAGTTAGACCAAGTACAGTGTGACCAGCTCTGCCTTCATTTAGGCCCTACCGTGTCTCTGGCAGGACTGTGGGCCAGGCCCAGGTGGCATTGCAGGAATGTTGACAGGTCCCTGTACTTCATCCCAAGCCTGGTGTGTGCTTAGGCTGAGGCCCCTGGATTCTCTGCCTTTGTATCCAGAGAGGGGATGGTGCAGCCTCACTTTTAATACCCACAAAGTGGCTGGGGACCAGGGCAGACCTGGGGATGTCTTTGTCCTGCCAGATGGTGACTTCCTTCCCACCTTAAAGAGCACTGGACTCAGAACGAGCCCAGCCCTGCCATTTCAGGTATCTGGGGTGCAGCCTCAGTGTTTGTGGTCTGTATGTAACCTCTAGCCTACTTCTCCAGGCTGGTGTCCTGTCTCCACCTTGATCATGGCTCTTTTCATCCTCCTGCTCTCGAGAAGTCACTCTCAGGGACATAGGATATGTGCAAGGGATGGAAGGATACAGGGTATAGGGCTTGGAACAGGACACAAGTCAGAAAATGCATCCCTTGACTGTCCTGGGGCCTCACACAACCTGAGTCCCTCCTTGGACTTGGTCAGACATTCAGGTAGGTGGAACCCAGCTCAGCCCTGAGGCAGGTGGAAACTGTGGCTTCAATGGGCCGTCTGTGAGTCCCATGAAGCTTCTGTGAGAGCAAGGAACTGAGGTTGGAGCCTGGGCCCCCAGCCCAGGAGGATGTAGAGACCTGGTGGGTGTGCTGGGGGTCATGCACAGCCTTTCAGTAAACTACAAGGAAACTCCCAGCTAATGCTGGCACACTTCAAACCCTTACTGCCGAGGCAGAAATGCCTGAGGAGTTAGTGAACCAAGACAGAGGAAATGAGCTGGAGGATTGGAGCGTGGATCCCAGAACTGAAGAAAAGCATGGAGACCTGCCTGAAATTCCATCTTCAGAAAGCAGGGAGGGGATCTCAAGACCAAACTGGCATGGAGACTTACCATATTGGCAAACTCTGGGTTTAATTAAGAGACCCTGCTTTAAGTCGGGCAGTTGCAGCGCATGCCTTTAATCCCAACACTTGGGAGGCAGAGGCAGGTGGATCACTGTGAGTTTGATACTAGCCTGGTCTATGAAGGGAATTCCAGGACAGCCAGAGCTGATACACAAGAGAAATCCTGTCTCAAAAAAATCGAGAGAGAGAGAGAGAGAGAGAGAGAGAGAGAGAGAGAGAGAGAGAGAGAGACTTTGCATCAGTGAGCAAGGTGAAAGAGTGATTGCAGCCTCCATGCATGTGTGCGTGCCTGTGTGCCCGCGCATGCGCACGCGCACATACACACACTTGCAAACATGCATGCATACACACATGAAAATGCAAAGGGAAAAAATGAGCCCAGCATTCTGTCACACTTTCTGTAATCCCAACACTTAAAAGGCTGAGGCAGGGGGATGACCCTGGCTACATAGTGAGTTTGAGTCCAGCTTGGCTATTTAAGGCTCTCTCAAAAAACAAAAATGAATTGATAGATTCAAGAAATTTAGAATGCTCCCTTTAAAGTCATAAAATAACAGAATTGTACAGTTGGAAATTGATCGTGTATCCTGTTGTTACAAATATAGGTACCCAAGATGGAGAAGGGACCCCCACACACACAGTAGACGTGCTGAGGATACACATCCCCCTGAGCCAGGTTTCGTTACCACGAGCTTGCAGGTGATCTGGTCTCAGAGCCCTAGGAATGTCCTCCATCCTGAGTGTCTGTCTTGGTTCCCAGGTGGGCCCGGAAGCAGGAGAGCTGGAGATTCCAGAAGACGAGGCAGACGTGGCTCTTGCTGAACATGTATGACGAAGACAAGGTCTGTACACAGCAGACGGGCATGTAGGACATTCGAGTGACAGGGTCCATGCGCAGGTGTCCATCTAAGCAAGGTTCCTGCATGCAGATGAGCACCTGACCAGGACCCCTGCCTAGGGGCTGGGTCTTCCAGGTGCCAAGACCATGTCATGCTGGCACATAGATGGAGTCCTTGCACAGAGGGTAGCCCACCTAAGTGACCGGATCCATATACAGCATGCAGGTCACGTGTGCCCCTTCAGCAGAGGTGCAGCCTGGAAGGGCTGTCCTTGTGGTCCCGTACAGCGGTGTGTCATCTTCTCTCATCCCTCCACCCCTGTTCGCCAAGACCCTAAATCCCTTCCTTGTCCTCCGTGCCACCTGCATGTCTAAGAGTGTGAGTGTGCCAGGCTCCTCTCAAGGCGGGATCTGGTTCCTTGGGGAAAGATGGAATTTGGAAGCAGAACCCCACAGCTAAGTTAGGGGGCTGGAGCTGCCCTGTCGGTGCTGAACTCCCATAAGTCCTCTGTCCTGCAGGACTCTCCTACCCTTCCCCCAGGGCCGCACCACTGCTTCCCCCCAGGCTGCTCCCTGGAGTGTCTGTCTGTCTGTCATACAGGGTAAAGGATGCTCCGTGTGTGCCTCTTAGGGTGCGGGGTGCCCATATCTGGAGGCGTCAAGTGAGGGCTGTGCCCGTCAACCCCACCCACCTTCAGGCACAGGCCTGCCCCCGCTGTGTGGGTCTCCCCGCTGTATAATGTCTTCATGTGGGCATACTGAAAATACATGAGCTTGAAATAGAAACAAAGTCAAAAGCTGCGGCTCGGGCTCGGTGGGTGGAGTGCCTGCCTAGTGGGCACAAGACCTTGGGTTCCATCCCCAGCCCGGCATACACTGGGTGTGAAGTTGCACACTTGTAACCACAGCACTGCTGTGGGAGAGGGAGGGAGAAGGAGGAGGAGTTTGGGGTCACCCTTGGCCAGCCTGAGCTAGAGATGGTGCCTCAGAAAAAAAGTTTTTAAAATGTATATAGGGAATGTCTGAAGCACGGGAGAGGCCTGCCAGCACACTGGCCTCTTTTCCATGTCCCCCTCTTGTCCTGACAAAGTAACAGCAGGGTGGTTGGGGGGGGTCACTTGCACACAGCTCTGCTAGGAGACCCCATCGTGAGGACAGTGTGAGCTGGATGCCTAGGCCGTCACGGGGAGGAACCCTAGTCCCTGCCGCTGCTCAGGATCCCCATGCCCCGGCCCTCAGCACTGTCCTCCTTCCCCCAGGTTCCTGATGAGCACTTTCCCACCCTGCTGGACTACCTCGAGGGGCTGAAGGGCAGTGCCCGTGAGCTGACAGTCCAGAAGGCCGAGGCCCTGATGCAGGAGCTCGATGAGGCCGACACCGAGGCCAGAGATGCACAGCTGGGGAAGATGGAGCGCCTCCGGCAGGTGCTGCAGCTGCTCTCCTAACAGGAGGAGGTGGCCTTGGGACCCGAGGACATGCTGGCTACCTCCTCTGCAGCTTTGGGAGCAAGCAGGTCACCGGAAGGTCATGTGCCTTGAGGACTTCCTTCCAAAGTCCTGGGAAGGACCCCCCCCACACACACACACACCTATATGCAGTCCTGGTGCCTTGAGAGTTGAACATGGTCTCCCAGAAGCAGCTCCCAGCTGCCACTCCCATGTGTGTGGCCCCAAGGTGGCTGTGAACAGATTCTATGAATGAAATCTCAGAGACTGGCCCATGCCGGCTTTCCCCATCAGCTAGGGTTTTGGTGGATCTCCTACATACTCAGTCTGAGGGCCGCTGCAGTACAGCCTAACAACTTACCTGCCTACAAGGAAGCCCTGCTGGGGACTTGGAGTGAGGATCCTGGACCTGTATGGCCGCCAGGAGCTACTAGAGGCTGCTGCCCCTTGACCCCGGCTGGCTTTCAGCAACCATGTGTTGTCCCTCAGTGTCAGGAGTAGGTCCAGCTCCTTCTCACTGGGTTGTCTCAGCCCACATGTTGGAAGCAGAATGACTAAGCATTTGTGTCTGGACCTGTGTCACTGTCAGAGCACATAACCGACTCTCAGTGAGTGAATTTCCTGGGGACCATAAAGAAGCATCCATAGATACCATGTATGGAGGGCACTGACCGGCCAGAGAGGATGTGGTGCAAGTCTAACTCAGTGAGCATTGAGCTCACTGGGTTTGCATGGGAGCTGTGCAGGGTCTGTCTTCAGCCTCCTGGGCCATCCAGCCCACAGCTTTCAGAGCCCCTCACTCACAACCCCTGGGCATCAGAGTAACTTTTACACACCCCTGGAATAGAGCTATATAAAAGAGGTGTACAGATCACATATTATCTACTAGATCATAAGAAATTTATTTTAAAAGCAATTCTGAATATATTTAATTTTGTCATTTATTAAAGATTTAAAACAAGTTTGCAGAGGTGTGCAGCCTTGTTGCTGAGAACTGAGGGGGAGGACAGAAAATACTGAAAGCTTGTTTTCCATAAATTGTCTTAAACTCTGAGGCTAATTCCAGCTCTCAGGAGGCAGAGGCAGGCAGATCTCTGAATTTGAGGCCAGCCTGGTCTACAGAGTTGAGTTCAGGACAGCCAGGACTGCACTGAAACTCTGCCTTGAAAACCCAAAATAAATAAATAAAACCCTGAGACTGATAGCATCATGTCATGAGCCAGGGAGTTTCAGGTTGCAGATCATGCAGCAGGAGTGCACACATGGTGTGTTCAGGTCATGCGGCAGGAGGGTGTGCTCAGAACCAAGGCTACAGGGAAGTTGTGCTATGTGACACCAGGAAACAGGACTTATTACACGTTTAACTGTTTGTTTGTTTGTTTGTTTATTTTTGGTTTTTCTAACCAGAGTTTTTCTGTGTAGACCAGGCTGGCCCCGAACTCACAGAGATCCACTTGCCTCTGTCTCCCAAGTGCTGGGATTAAAGGTGTGCGCCACCACCCCCAGGCTACACATTTTACTTCTGATTTTTGATTGTTGCACAGAAATGTCTGACTTGCCAAATGTTTTCTTGCCCGAGTAGAGCTGCAGCCCACAGTTGAAGAGGCAGGAAGGAATGGTGGCTGGGATCTCAGGTGGATCAGGTGACTCCCACGCTGGTATCCCTCCCTACATGGATGTCAACGGGCCCAGTCTCTCAGGGGTCTCCTTTGGCTGGTGACAGCTGCTCTGATTGATGCAAGGCCCAAGAGGACAGAGTTCCACCGCCCACTCCCAGCTCCAAGTGGACAGGACTTGCGTCACACTGAGGAGATAGATGGCCAACCAGAGCCAGCTGGGCTAAAGCCAGGCTGCCCTCAGCTGCCCTCAGCTGCCCAGAGGTCCAAGTGAGCCTGTGAGAGCAGCCGCGGTTCCATTCAGAACCTTCTGCCACTAGAGGGCGGTCCAGTCCCTACCGCCTTAAGCACTGCCCTCCTGCCTGAAACACGATGCCACGTGGCAGAAGAGAGGGCACACACTGGGGTAGCCCCCAGGCTGCAAACTCTACCAGATCACCTGAGTGAAGCAGAGCTGAGCTGTCCCTGGGTCATATGAAAGTGTTAGGATAGAACTGGGCAGTGGTGAAAAACACTATTAATCTCCAGCACTCGGAAGGCAGAGGCAGGCAGATCTCTGAGTTTGAGATCAGCCTGGTTTTCACAGTGAGTTTCAGAACAGCCAGGGCTGCATAGAGAAGCCCTATCTGGGGGGGGGGGGGGGGGGGGGGGGGGGTGGGAGGGGGGGGGGGGGGGGGGGGGGAGTGGTAGTCTTGTATCAGGTCCCTAGCACTTGGGCACAGTGGCAGAATTCTGCATTCGTGTGGGAGAGAGGCAGCCGGCCAACGTGTGCACCTTTCCCTGGGTCATGGGTCTCAGGCAGTCTGGCTATTTGTACTCAGACCCTATCTCACTTACAAACCCCGTCCCCAGCCCTGTCCTGCATCCCTCAGACACTTCTGACACTTAAGGTTCAGTTACTTTAAAGCCCTGGCTGCGTCTAGCATCAAGGCAGTGTGACATCAGAGCCCAAGGGGGACTCATTCCTGTCCCTTTCACCACCAAACCACCAAACTGTTGGTGCCAGAAGGGACCCGAGTATCACCTGATCTGGGTCTTACATTTACTCCAGCTGGCTCTTTCCACTCCTGGTGGCATCCAGCCCTGCCCTTCCACACTTGGGGAAGCCTTGCACTGTCCGTCGCTGTCTCGGGCACTTCTGGAGCTGGCATGTTGTCACAACAGACATGCGCAGCAGGGTTATCAGCCTGCGCGTTCCAAAACCTTGAGTGGGCACACAGAGAAACAGGGAATACAAAAAATAACACAAAGGAGGGAGGAGCCAGGAGGATCAGGAGCCATAGCGCTGGGTCTCCTCGTAGCCAGGTCAAGTGGGAAACGTGGTGGGTCACTCACTGTCGGTGAGACCTGGCTTTAGGAACCTGGCAGAGGGTTCCCAGGAAATCATCTGGGAGATGCTCTTTTCTGCCAGGTGTTCTTGCCCCAGGTCACCAGAGTGTCAGTCTTCGCAGGAGAAGGGGACAGAAAAGTCACCTGTGGTCAAGCTCAAGCATCCCCTGGAGTCCCCTTGATTCCAGTCAAAGGTGGAGCACCCCGAACTGTGACTGGCAGATTCTGCCTAGTTAGAGATAGGAGGATGCACTGGGGACTGTGGAAGGGCTATAGACCAGGTATCTGAGTTTCGGGACCCCCATGGCCTGGTGCAGAGTTGCCTGGTGGGCAAGGAGAACAATGAAGAAACTGAGACCTAGTTCAAATCCCCGTACTCTGGGGATTTGACGGCCTTGGGAACCAGAGTAGAGAACAGTCTGTAGTGTTCAGAATGAAGGCGCCTGGAAGGTAGGTTTCTGGGAACACCGTATCAGGCCAGGGTAGGGATGCTGGGCTAAACAGGAGACATATCTACCACCACCCCCCAATGCCCAACTAAAAGGCCAGCTTCCAAATTCCAGTGGGCAAATGTGGGCAGCCTGCCACCCTGTACACTGTGTCGTAAAAGCTGTGGTACTCAGCTTGTGGCCCAGAGGGACAAAGTAGGCACCGTCTGCCCATCATTCATTGCTAGGGACGCTTCAGCCACACCATAGCCTGCAGTGGAGAGGCAGCGAGGCTCTGGCAGTGTGCAAGCACCCTAGGATCTAGGCACTGCACGCAAGGTCTGGGCAGGGGGCCGCATGGTAAAGGCTGGGGCAGGCCGCAGATCCAGGTCTGCGGGGCTGAGGCCGGGCGGGGGCAGCAGATGGTACCGCTGGAGGAGGCCCACAAACAGCAGGAAGAGCTCCATCATGGCCAGGCTTTTTCCAACGCAGACCCGGCGGCCTGAAAGAGAAACCAAAGCACCTTGTAGTGTGCCAGGCCTGCTCCTGGAGGGGAGAGGGGCAAGCAGGAGCTAGTGAAGGCACTCCCTGGAGGCTGAGGGCCAGCAAGGTACCAGTGGAGAAAGGCAGGAAGGCGCCCCGCTTCACGAACCGCCCGTCGGCATCCAGGAAGTGGTGTGGGTTGAACTGGCTTGGGGTCTCCCATTGAGTCTTGTCCAGGAGCACTGAGGTCAGCAGAGGGATCACAGGGGTGCCCTATAGGGTAGAGGGGTCCCAAGGTAGGCTGATCTGCTTGGAGGGAGGGGAAGGGGCAGAGCGCCACCCGGGGGAGTTCCTGCCCCCCACCTCCACCACCTAGACAAGTGAATTTGAGACCCAGGAAGTCCCCTGTCCACCCGGCCAAAGCAAAGAAGTAGGACGGCACCTTGGGAAGCAGGTAGCCCCCCAGCTGGATATCAGCAGTTGTGCAGCGGGGCACATGGGGCAGGAGTGTGATGTACCGCTGTGTCTCATGCAGCACCGCACTGGTGTACGGCAGCGCTCGCTGGTCCTCTGGCCGGGGTAGCTGCCCGGGGCCCAGCACTCGGTCCAGCTCCTCCTGCACGCGGCCTAGGCCAGAGGGTGGCATTGCGTGAGTGAGCGCCCCCCCAGACCCCTAAGGGTTCCAACCCCCTACCACAGGGTGACTCTCACCCTGCACATGCGGGTGCTTAACCATTAGGAAGACTGCCCACTGCAGTGTGGCTGCCGTGGTCTCTGTTCCAGCCATGACCATGTCCAGTGTGCAGGCCAGGACATTTTCCTCACCAAACATGTCCTCAGGGTCATCCTCCTGCAGGGCAGATGGTTAGAAATGGGCTTAAAGCTCTGGGGATCCAACCCCAACCTGTGGACCCACCCCAGTCCTAGGCCCCAGAGGAGAATGAGGTAGAAGTCGGGCAGGTGGGGGGGCAGTGAATGGCATTTACTGAGGCTCCACCCAGCCCCAGTGCCCATTCCAGGGACTTTGAGGAGCCAAGCTCACAGAGGAGGAGACTGAGACTCCCAGCGGTCCCCAGCAGATGGGAAAGAACCCTCAGTAGTTCCCTCCCCCTGAGCTGGGGCCACTCAGCCTCCGACTGGTCTCTGGGAAAGTCCCGGCCTGTCCACACCTGGCCCTGCTGGAGCAGAGCCTCCATGTAACTCCGCAGGGGGCCGCCACTTGGCAAGGGTGGTCTCCGTGCCTTCAGCAGGGTTCTCAGGATAGCGCGCACCTCCTCGATCTTGCTCAAGACAGGCCTGTGCAACCGCAGCAGAGCCCCCAGCCGGGGGAAGGTGTTGAATAGCTGAGAGTGGGCGGGACAGCGGGGTGGGGTAGAGGTGAGGTGATGGATGCAGTCACTGTAAGCAAGCCAATCCATCTAGCAGCAGGTGCACCGGGCAATGCTGCCCCTGGCCACAAGAGGGCACCAGGCCCACAGTACTGAAGGCTTACCACCCTCCTGGAAGTCCGGGGGCTAGGAGGGAATCTCAGGGCATTCAGGAAGGAGCCAGGTGACAGCACTTGGGTGGCTGTGCCAAGACCAAGAGTAATGGCTGCCTATGGACGTGTTCCTTTCTATCTTCGCTGAAAGGGAAGGGCAGAGGAGGAATGGCTACCATGGGGAAGGAGTCACAGCTATGGGGTCTCATAGGTCTTGGGGAGGGGCAATTTGTAGCTTACGGTAGAGTGGGTTTGGTGCCAGTAGGCATTTAGGATTCCAGCAGCCCCTACATTGGCAATTACTGGTGGGAAATGCCACATATTGCTCTAAAGTGATAGGGACCATCCCTACTGCCCGAGCTATCCAGAGGGACCCCGCCTCTCCATCCCTCAGGGAGTGCTCTGAGGATGAACTCACTGCTTGCTCTGACTGCACAGGTGGGATGCTAAGAGCGTTTTCACCACAGTGACTGCTCTCCCTACCCCCTATGGGGCCTCATCCTGAGTCAGGGCCCAACTGTAATGGCTGGGTGCTGGTTACTATGTGTCTTCTAGGATTCGGTTAGCAGCATGGTGGCCCAAATCCAGGACTCTTTTACACTTTAGGACACTGGGCATAGAAAAGGCTCATTTTCATGATTTCTGTGATGAGGAGCGTGTGGTCAAGAACATCTTTAGTTCCAGTACTCACGAGGTAGAGACAAGTGGATCTCTGTGAGTTCGAAGCCAGCCTGATCTATATAGAGTTCCAGGACAGCCACAACTACACAGAGAGATATGAATGCCCTGAGATTCTCTCTCAAAAACTAAATAAAAGGGGCTGGAGAGATGGTTCAGTGGTTAAGAGCACTGGCTACTCTTCAAGAGGACCCAGGTTCAATTCCCAGCGCCCACTTGGCAGCTCACAACAGTCTGTAACCCCAGTTCCAGGGGACCTGACACCCTCACACCAATAAATAAATAAATGGTGCTTGGGTGTGGGGGGACCTCTGGGACATGGGCCCCACAAACTGTTAAGGCCTGCCAGAGAACATAGGCTTGGTTCACGTGCAAAACATGCCAACCAGTGTTTGTCTTTGACCAATGCCACCCATTCCTTGCTCGTTTTATTTTTGTTTTCTCTTTGGAAACAGGGTTTCATGTAGCTTCGGCTGCCCGCAAACTCACTAGTGGAAGATGACCTTGAATTTATGACCCTCCTGACTCCATTCCCAGAGTGCTGGGATGGCAGGTGTCTGATGCTGAGCCTGAAACCCGGGGCTTCGTGCACGCTAGGCACGCTAGGGAAGCCGCATTCCCTAGCCCGAGGGCTCCTTGTCCAAAGGGTGACAAGGCTGGCAGCCGGGCAAGGAGGAAACGTGGTGGGTACCAAGCAGCCCTGACCTCACACTCCCACACCCTAGTTCAATAGGGGCTCAGTTCCCTGTGGCGTGGCGGCCTCTCACCTGTATGCCAGGTGACCCCAACAGGACCATGACCTGGTCGATGAGACTCAGCAGGGACACAAACACAGGGTCCTGGTAGTCAAAACGCTGGCCAAAGACGAGTCCAAAGGTGATGTTGCAGGGTGCCCAGCCCAGCAGGGCCAAGGGGAAGGGCTGGCCTGGAGGTCGGGGAGGAAAACAGGCGTCAGGGGAGGCAGAGATCCCGGGGAAGGGCAGCTTTGGCCCCCACTCACCTCCGTAGCTGTCCAGCTGCCTCTTAAGACAGGCCAGCTCCTGCAACACCTTGCCCACCATGGGAGGCTGTCCCACCCCCAGGCTGTGTAGCGTCCGCACCGTGAACTGGCGAGCCGCCCTCCAGTGAGCTCCAGAGGAAAAGAAGATGCCTGTTGGGTAGACATGAGCCATGAGTGCTAGCCACTCCCCATCCTGATGATGCATGCAGGGAATAGAGGCCCAATTGGGGGCCCCAGGCTCAA